CAGGCCCAGACCGCCCCCTCTGCTCGGGCTCAGCGCGCAGGGCCAGACCGCCCCGTCTGCTCGGGCTCAGCGCGAAGGCTGTCTGAAGCTCAGTTGCACTTCCAATCTCTCTGTGTCTCGGGACTGACAATCAGACTCCCGGTGAGCAGCAGTCTGATCCACTTCAGGTTTTGCCAGCTGCAGAACTCTCTTGACTGTCAATTCAGAACCAGGTGCCTCACACTGCAAACTGGGCACCTTATTCAGAGCAGCGTCTGCACAGGCAGGCCAACACAGAACATCAACCCTGATCATTCCAGAGGCTGTGGGGGTGGGAAACTGGTGCTCCACATGGCCCAGTACCCAACCCCCCCCCCGCCAGGGCTCCTCCCTGCAGTTCAAGTGCCCCCCAGGCTGACCACCCCCAGTACTCTGTGATAAAACAGTGCTCAGCCTGGGAGCAAGTCCCCCTCCTCGCTGGAGGCCACACAGTGGGAGCCTGCAGGTGTGCAGAAGAGCAGAGACACAGGAGCCATCTGGCCTCTTGCTGAGCTCGTTTGGCTGCTCCCTGGCAAACTGATCTGAGGATCTAGTCCGGACGTTACTCAAAAGGGTATCAGCTTTAACAGTGTGGACAGCAGGTTACAGACTCACACCACCCTTTGTGCAAAGAAGTGTCTCCTGTTCTGTTGTCATCATGAAGACCACTGGCTGGCCCATGCCACCCTGCTTAGAAATTCAGCTGTTTAGCAGATATTGGATGTGAGGGAACAGCAGCTCTGACCTGAACTACATTCCCCAGAAAGCTGTGGGGTCTGACCTGCCACCCTCAGTCACATGACCAATCGGATCTGTGTGTTTGAAGCTGATATGCAACTTACTTGCCTGGTTAGTTACTGTTTGTGAGGGTTACGAGAGGAAGTTTAATTACGACAACCCCCGCCTGTTACTTTTGTAGTCGAGGGATGTGTTTGTGTCCATTTCTTGGGATGCCCTACAAAAAGATGACCTGCTAGGGAACCCGGTTGTGTTACAGTAATTCATCTGGAGGACCAGTAGACTGCAGTAGACTGGGGAACTGTCCTGCCTGCTGCCTGCTCTCTGCTTCCCCACAACCTCTGCTAAAAATACAGGGCCAGAGAGCAGTGAGCGCCGTCTGCAGACAGAGAG